TTCAAAATCCAAAAGAAGGAAGTTGTATGTTCGACAGCGATGTATGTTTCTTTTTATGTATGTTCATCTATAATTCGGTAAATCGTTGACCGATTTTCAAAACTTTTTATTCGACAGTTTGATAGACTGAAGTGGTCCCATTTTAAATTTACAGTAATTGAATCAGTAATTTTCCTATTATAATAAAACAAAATGCGTTCTCCACAATATATCGCCTAAATATTTAGATAATATGTCTTGTATTTCATGTATCTCAGCTAAAAAAGACAAAAGATAGCGTATTTTGTTCAAAAACCGAAAAGATTTTTTGTGTTCAAGGAGTATGTATATTTTTTTTTTGTGAAAGCAGATATGTCTAATGATTTCTTCTTGAATTGTGAACTAATTTCTATCAGACTAGTTGTTTCTCCGCGACTTCACCTACGTAAATTATAGCCCATATCCAATGCGTATTATGTAGCTTCCGGTAGATGAAAGACTATTATAAATCGGTCCAATAGTTTCGGGGCCTATCCAATGCAAACAAACAAGCAATCAAATATTTCCACTTAATAATATGAGTATAAATTAGTGGAAAAAATTATGTCGAAAAAATAAACAAAATCTCCTTTTTTAAGACTTTCACCATGTTGATTTTTTTTTATTTATATAGATCTACATCTAAACTAGAACTATATAGATGAAAGATTTGTTTGTGTGTTTGCAATGAATAGGCTCCGAAACTATTGGATAGATTTTAAAAATTCTTTCACTTTATTTTATCCCGAAAAACAGCAAATAAAGGGATGACAACGGGAGTGGTGCTCGTACAGGGAATGAAAAATTTATCATAGTAAAGTTTACTTCAATTTGTTATTGTATTTATATCCTGTCATTGTTTCATGATATGATTCGGTATCCCCAGTGACTACACGGGCGAAGCCGCTTGCGGAAAGCTGGTATTTATAATTTTTAGTAAAACCTATTATAAGACATATATCACTAAAAGCATGAAATATTTTTTTTTTAAAGTAGAACCGATTTCAAACTTTAAAAAAGATAAATAATATTTACCACAAAAGCGACTTTTTCAAGTAAATGTTCCGTAGTAAGGAACTCTAGCAGTTTCACCATGTCAGTCTGTCTGACCGTCCATCCGTCCGTGGTTTAGCTCCAAACCCTTCAGTACTAGAAAGTTGTAATTTGGCATTGCCTTTGGCATTGCATTGCATTGGAAGTTTTTTTCGTCTTCCTCCATAATGTGAGGTATCATTGGATAGACCTTTTAACAAAACTCTGAAACATTGGCGTTTTTCAATTTAGTAAGCCGTTCGTGCTTATTTAGCTATAAAAAGACATTTTTTTCGTAAGAGTCAAGAATTACCGTCTACTAACTAAACGGAATTATTATTATTAAAAATTCAACTGTTACGGCAATAAATTATCAAACTTACGTTGGTTTTACAAGTTTACGAGTAATAGTTGACAAATTCTATTTATTCCCAAAATTTCGAACAAGTCCACATAAAATAAAAAACGTGATTTTTTTCTACTTTTGATTACTTGATTAAAGTTTCTTTGTGTTTTATATACGGAACACTTCGTGCGTGAGTTCGACTCGAACTTGGTCGGCTTTTTACCCAGACATCGTCTTTATTGGCACCATTGTATTTAATTTTATTGTAGGTATAGTAGTCTGTTTTAAAGTCAATATTTTAAAAGCCTTGGCTGTTAGTTACACTCTCCGATAATATTTAAAGCCAAAAGGCAGTGTCAGCGAATGCTCCCAACTCGTCCTCATTAGTGGTAATGGCGGTCGGTCGTAGATATTCGAGCCAGAACGGCTTAATTAATACTGAAGACAGCCTCTTTGTGAGATAATCTATACAATGGAATCCCGATAATTCGCGTCAAGATAAAAAGAAAAACCAGCCACCTGACATTTGCTATTGTCAGCTTTGTACATAAACTTCGTTTTAAAAATATAAGATATACATAAAGGAATCCGTTTGAAATAAAAACCTATTTAATTGAATAGTATCATTTAATGCAAACAATGGAAACAATTTTGGAAAAATACATATAGATACGAAATTATTATCGGATACAATTTATTTCAGATTGTTGTCGAATTTATTATACAATCGCAAAAGTTTTCAGTCTTGCCAAAATACAAATTGACCATCATCTATTAACATTTTTTTCTCTCAGGTTTACTTTACCGCAAGTTAATTTATATCCAGACTTATTTTTAAATAGTTAGCACAGTTGTTGTAATGTTTCTGATATTTCTCATTTCGAATACAAATAACGGGTACAAATATCTATCCGTCTTAAATAACTTCTCGTAATACAAATAGCTATTTTAATGACTCGTTTCGGATATCAATTGATTATTTTTAATTGTGATTAGTTTAAAATGTATTAAAACATATAATTGTCCTTAAGTAGGCTATTAGGTATTACTATACTAATTTAAAATAATAATATACATACATAGAAAAAGGTTATGAAAAGCATATAATGCGTATGCATATAAATTTAAAAAAATCATACGATGTGAATCGCTTTTGTGTTGGTTGCTTTTCAAACATTTCCTTTGATTGCTTTTGATGTATTGTTGAAACTTGTGTTCCGTAAAGGTTAATCCCGATGGGATAAGAATATTATGAGTAACTTGTGTGTATAAAAATAGGGAAATATCAGAAATTGCTTTGTACACTAGTGTACAATATATAATGACACATAAGTACAAGTTTTATTATTACGAGTATATTAAATAGCAATACACATAATAAAAATGGTAAATCCTATAGTACCCGTAGTAGTTGGCTTTTGAATTGGACATGAACGTAAGATAGATATTCTTTTATTAATAATTTTACTTTCGCAACACTATATTATTTTTAACCTTATTAAAATAGGTATATCCTAGAATAATAAAGAATATCAAAACTACATGATCCTATCCTATCATTGGATAATTTTTAGGTATTGTTGTAAAAAAAGAAAACAAACGAGTATTTTCAATAATTTAGTAAAATTAGATCTAAATTACGAATCCCATTTTAAGACCATACTAAAACGACTTAATATTAGTAAAGGTATAATTCAAAGATAATAAAAATAGTATAATATTTCCTCCAATATCAGAAATGCACATCTAACAATATCTTTACTTGTTTCTTCCTAATATTTCTCATATGATGGACATCATGGACAATGTCCAATCTCAAAAGTCCAACTTGTATTTAAATTCAAATAAATAGTTCTTATGCTAATTTATATATTAGTAGCAGTGTTTTGATAAATTAGGATTTTGATCAAAATACTATATTTTTGATCAAGAATAAAATAGAATTTTGTGAATCCTTATTTAATTTTCACATGGATTCGCTTTTCGAATGACTTATCACAATAAAAACATCCTTTTTTGATTTTATTAATTTATTGAAACGTTTACTTTAGTTAAGTATACTTGTGATTTCTAAAAATGCAGTAACATTAGCTATAAAATTAAAACTTGCCTCCCATAAAAGTTGCAAAATCCAACCTAGTATAAAAACTTTTCCGAGTTTTCCCCTCCCGTTCTTGATCAAAAACCTAGTTTTTTTTAACCTTATTATTGATCGGAATCCTGCGAAATATATAAGTCCCGATGCGGTCAGAAAAGAACCTCAATCGCCTAAACGAATAATGAAAATAAGTGAAATTTAGATAAATAAATTCGTCCAATAAATATAAATTTATTATTATTTCATAAAAAATATTCATTGATAGAACAATAAAAAGTTGTAATAGTATAGTTTTATGGGGGTGAAGTTTAGAAGGATCTATTGAGTCATTATTCAATAGGTAATTGATCTAAATAAATCAATATTTATAATTTTAATATCATAATTTACTCCATATTGAGTCGTTCTTATTACAAAATTGTTTGACTCCTTGACGGTTTTTAATATTTTTAATATAAAATTTGTCAAACTGTAACCAATTTCCTTCATTCAATCAAGAGAGCAAAATTCTTATAATAAATGAGAATAAATTCATAAGTACTGAAATGTCTTTGGCACAGACAATTTTATTAGAAAGCTTACGTACGATATTTCCATATTTTCTTTATCCTTACACAAAAGATTATATTAAGTAATTACCTCCAAGAGAATAATTTTATATATACAAAAAGAAATATGTACATAAATAAGGTCCACTAACTATTTAGCTGCCGACATTTGTGGGCATTCCGGAAAGACCAAAGATTACCACAATCTTGCGTATTCCCATAAATCTCCTCTATAATATTTTCCCCACCCTTCTATGAAAGATACACGTACGAGCGAGCATTATGATATACTCTTCTGCTTACGTTTCCTTATGAGATTACCTACCATAAGTCTCTCAACGGCGCCTTTCTAGGTAACCGATTTATGTCAGCGAATAATAGCCCATTTCTACCATATACGTTTCAAATACATTTAAAAATTTCTTACACGTTATATTTACAAATCAGGTAAAATAATATATCCATTTTTTTTAAACACATAAGAATTAATAATCTCAGTAAACATGACATCAAATAAAGTATTAATTACAGTTCGGTGCTCATTTCAGCGCCACCACCGGGGGGCTTGCTGCCGGCCGAAGTTTCAAAAGCAGTCTCCGAGTTGCCAGATGTTACCTCACTCATCAAGTTCAATTGCTCTGCAGCCTGTTTGGTATAAATTATACTTATATTTATGTTGAAGACCCTATCCATTATTTAACAAACACATGGAGAGCAATAATTAAACACACGTTAAAATTTAATCACAAAATAATAAACAAAACACAAATCATAAACCAAAATTTAGCTACACAAGGTTAGTCAAACAGTGTTAGTCTACTTGTAAAACTTAAACCACTGACCCCCGCATGCAAACAGAACAAACTTCAACGTGGGACACGTAACAAACCAAGGTTGCGTGCAGCTACACATTCAGTATACTTGTTGCAACACAGGACTGGCGCTGTGGAGACCTTACTTACTGCGTGCTTTCTATAAGAGGTTTTAGTATAATGTCGAGGGTGTTGTCATGTCGCGCGGCGATCCGCGTGTGAGTGCGTGCGATGTTCGCGTTGCAGTCTCGAGATTCGCGCGACGGACGAGCGTATCGCCGCGCCAGCGAACCGCTCTCGCCCACCAATATGTTGTTGTTGCTAGCATGTCTCTGCGTATCCCATAATCACACGCTAGTAACTACCGGTGCACACCATAGCTATACAGTATACACAAGTAAAATAAAGAAAGCACAGAAATACATAGCCTTTAGCAGTTGGTAATGTACCAGAGTGGTGACATTGAATAATGTTTGATATAATTTTATTTTAAATTTGGTGTCATTTAAACCACTGTAGCACTATAATACCATAAGCCCCTTGAAGCATATGCAGAAACGAATAGATAATTATGTATTCAGTGAAATGAGAAATCTAATTATAAGGAGTTCGTCAGTGAATTAGACTATCTTACGATATATGGCTAATTGCAGACAGACGTGTTGTATACAATGTCTGTTTCAGTTTTTTTCGAATGTTGAATACGTTCCCATGAAATATTGTTCATAACGCCACAGAAGAATCGATCAGAAATAATTAAATTTATATTCATGGTTAACTTAAGTATATTTGTCTACAATAGGAGAATTATGGCTAATGTTATGTGACCCGTCATTTCCTTATCGTTTCTTCAGTCGCACGGATTAAAGATGGTAGATTTTTAACGTCAGCAGCCTGTACACGGTTAGCTTAACGCCAGAAACAGGAGCTGCGGATTACTCCCGGCGGCCCCCTAAGCTTATTTAATTCCGAAAACATTTTTCACTTTTTGCAGGCCCTCGGGATTCAGGTGGACGACTAAATGTGTGTGCGTTTACAAAGGTATTATAAAAGTACCCTTATTAATGATGTGATGAAACAAAGGTTCCCGGAATTTATTTACCTAGTCCTGCCCACTCGTTATGAAAACAACTCTGCATTCATTTGAACGTAATTAACACAACATAAAAATTTAAGATTATTAAATTACCTATTAGTACAGAGTCTCTATTCGTGTATGTATGTTATATTACGTTAATTTGCAAACTAGTTTTTTTTTTAAATATTTGATTAATTTCACTTTCATAATATTATATCAGAAAACATCCTTAATGTAAAATATTTGATTAATTTCACTTTCATGATACAATATCGGAAAACATTCTTAATGTAAAATACCTAAAAAAATCCACTTTGTCCCTGGCACTGATGGGATGGGATTTTATCTTTATTAATTTATCATAAATGAAAGGTAAATGAGAAATGTTGCCGTTTTAAGAAATGTCACTTATGTATTTCTGTTTAAATATTTCACGATATATACGGATTATGAAGAAGACCTGGTAATGTAAGTGGGTAGTTGCCATTAAGTATTTGCTTGATACCTCCTAACCGAGTATAAATTTGAATAATTTGACAGTTCCATCCTTTTTTGAAACTATAATGCATACAAATTTATTTTTGTAGATCAAGCAGCTTAGAACGTCAGCCTCACTAGATTTCGATATCGAATTAACAGATTTCAGTCTGTTTTTTTTTATGGGCCGCCAGGTTGCGGAAGTATGTTAGAAGCGAAGCGCCCACTCACGAAGAGAGAAAAGGCTGAGTCCTGGGGCGCGGGCCTGCGGGCGGGGCGGTCGCGGCGTGTTGCAGCGCTGTCACTGGCAACGGACAGCAGGGAACGTTGCGAGCCGGTTACGGCCCGCGCGCGGCCCGGAGCCGCTGGAGGCCGACGGACGACCGCCCCGCCCCACCCGCACCCGCCTCCCGTTGCTCCGTAGCACCACTGCCTACTCACTGGCGCTGTTGAGCCGCCTGCACCGCATTTGGCACTGTCGCTTGACCTGCACGTTATCAATCACAGCGATACAGCGATGGTTCCAATTTGTTTGCGTGGTGGCACTAGTATTTTTGTAGATTAAACGACAAAACTCGAGAGGAGGAGGAGAAAAAGGGTTTTGTCGGGTAGGCTAACTGCGTTTAAAATGAATTAAGAAATAAAAGATTTTTTTCCATTATTTGGGAGAAAAGAACATTGTATTTTATTCGATAACAGTTGTATGAAGATCTGTAGCGTAGTTATTTACGCGGTAAATTCGCAGAAGACATTTTAAATCCTGACAAAATACAACGGACATTTGTGAAACGTAAGTATTCATGATTTTTATAGACCTAAATTAAAACTTTGCATCCGATCACTACATAGACTCTAGATCTAGATTCTACATAGATACGAATGGCATAGACTGAACCATGCCCTATAAACATCAGTCGTCTTAAGAGAAAGAATAACTGAGTACGTACCTCTCGGATGAATACGCGTAATCCTGGTCAGCTCCTAGACCTGAATCAGTATGTTCATGTGAAACCCTCGCGCTGCCGGAGATAATTTCGCCACTGGAGCTGTTACTGTTGCTGTTGGTCACTGGACTGTACGGATTGTTATTGTTCGAAACCGGCGTCACATTGCACTTATATCCATTATTTGTGAGAAAATCGTCACCAGTGCGACCCAAAGATTCGTCATAAGTCGGGTACACGCGTCTGTAAAAGAGAAGACAGCAAGGTATTCTGATTTTTTTTTCGACCCTTCATTTGGTGTCGTTACTTTTAAGTAAAACTAACCTGCCATGTTTCTCTACATTTGTCCTATGAGTACTTAATGTACTGGAACTTGATCTGAGCGAGCCTTGATGATGATTTTCATGAATTGTTTTGTGCGATGAGGAACTTTTATCTCTTCTAGCTAATGATCCATGTTCAGTCCTAAAGGATAAAGATAAAAGTATGATTTTTGTGATATATTATAGAAATTATTTAAATTAACCATGATAAGCTACTTACTGTCTATGTTTTGATGAAGTCCTTAGTTTAGTCTGTCGAGCGTGACTGGTCTGTACCACTGTGTATGGTATTTCCTTGAGTTGCTCCTCGGTCATTCCCGTTGTGTCCACCAAAGAAAACTCTAAATGTTGTTTCAATTCAGTAGGTAACCATTTTTTGTCGTTAGGAGAACCTGACCGCGACCTAACAAATGAAATGGACTTATAAAATGTTCTATATATATATTTAGGTACGAAATTATATTTTTAAGATATTCACCGATGTTTTCTATGTCTTCGATGCCTGTGAGATGAACGGTGTGTACCCGTTTCAGGTTCCATTTGTGACCGACGAACATTTGCAACCTATGAAATTATTGAAATTAATGCCTTTCAATTCAATCGAGTTATACAGTTCCGTTGAATAGTATAAATATTGTTACCTGGACGCTACTTCCAGAATTAGTCTGCCGTAAAACTTCTTTCCACTGCGACTCCGACTCAATTAACTCGTATTCTCTGTAATCGAAAATATTTTAGGAAATATCCCCAGTAGTGTACACGAGGTTCCAAGTCAAAAAAGCAGTTGCACTCCTCTTACCCTGGGTCCAATATCAAAAGACAGTTAAAATCTAGCGATGTACTCAGACATAATCAGTTGTGTGACCTTGTGATACTAACATACTCGTAGCTAAGCTATGCGATAAATATATTGGATTATTATTTATGGACTAACTATATATCTAAAAAACAAATTCAAAAACAATAATCTCATATAGTGCAGTGGATTCGAACCACGACATTTCATTATTTCGGTTTTTTTACGGCTAGTAAATGTTGTAAGGGAGTTACCAAATAAGACTGTAGAATTTTTCAAGTATTGATATTTCCATCAATGTTTTAGTTCTTACCTAAATATCAAATAATCATTATGACTAAAATAATATGATAATTACAGACTTTATATTATCAGAAAATAATGTGTTCAGTCTAATATTCTCATAAAAAATAACAAAAGAAATCGTTATTAAAGTTGTGCAATACGAATCAATAAATATTTATTCACTTGGTGTCAGGTTGAGAGTCGTCCTTTTCAGATCCGGATTCATGCTTGTGGCGGGACCTATGTCGACGATGCTTCCGCCCTGATCGGCCCGAACCTCTTGACAACTCGCTTTCCGCATCAGATTGTTGTCTTCGAGATCGGTGCTTATGCCTAAGTTAAAATAGAATCATGATTGAAGAACCCGTAGATATGTAAAGATTTTCTTTATCCCAAGATATGGAAATATTGTCTGCTGACCACTAACTTGGAAGGTATTGAAATGTGATAATTTAGCGCATTCTATTCATAATTTATTTAATTAAAAGAGTAGCACGGTAATTTAGTACATAATAAACTCCTAAGGTGGTCGTTTGTATGTACAAATTTTAAAATAGAAACTCATAACTTAATGTTAGCTCCCAAACTTTCATAATTTATCGAAAAAAACACATACAATCAAGCAAAAACTTTATAATTATTCAATAATTTACATTGTATCATGAATTTGAGATAGCTTGTTGTTAACATGCAAATAAACATTCAAAAAAGTAATCTATGTTGTCGTCATACTATCAAGAAATGGAAAACACAAACTAACAAGTCGTAAGTTGAATTTAAATAGCCACTCTGTTATTCGAATTCTATGTAATGAAGTCATTGAAATTCTCATTTGCTTCGAGTTGAACATTATCAAAATCTCAATTTAAGCACCTACAAAGACATTTAACTAGAAGTTTGGTAGTGCTAATAAAGAGCACCGAGCTGGCTTCGAAGTTGCATGAATCTTCACCTGCTTAGCGAGTTCCTTGCATTCTGCACTTCGTAATTAGTTGTATCTAACAAAATTATACTTACTTATTCTTAAAAGAAAGTATGTTGCACATTTTGCTTATTATGTTTTATGCTCATTTATTATGTGATAATTAAGAACAAATATTTGGAATATTTTTATTAGCATTTGGATGATTCCGGAACATATTCTTTGTTTCCTGGATTTGATGTACCTCTAAATAGTCTTGTAATTAGTGAGAGAATTACAAAAACTTTTTCCTTTCGTGAAAATTTCAACAGTATCTTTATGGGGTCGAGAATACGATTTGTTGGAAGTGATTAAAACTTTCACGAAGTTGAAGCAAAGTTTACTAGCAGACGCTTCAGCGTTAATTCTGTATTTTTTTAAATAAATTACTGTCAAACCGGAGGCTCTTAAACTTAAATGGGTGATGTTTTAAAAGATGTATAGTAAGTCAAATTCAAAAGATCATAATGTCATGTCTTATTGGAATTCCCTTCTTTATTTGTACGCTATATGATGATCATTCAATTTTATTAGTTGTTTTCCCGCGACTTCATTCGTGTTAATTGCATCCTATGTTACCCGTCTATAATGTTGTAACTTTCCGCATGTGGAATAATTTTTAAAATTGGTCTAGTAATTTTTACTTCTATTTAATGAAATCAAACAATCAAATCGTTCCACTTTATGATATAAGTATAGATACCACATCAATACACATCACATTTTCATTATTGTAATAGTGATATCACATTTTTAAGAAAATGAGATCTGTTGAAATGATTGAGCATAAAAGCCATCATTTTCTTCAATATTAATAGTCAATAAAAAATTAAAACAAAAAAGAGATGGTAAAAAAGTCATACTTGCGATTGGAGCGCGAGTCATTTGAGCTCTGCGAATCAACAGATGCGGAACGATGACGAGGTGCCGGCGGCGGTCTCGTCGCGGTCGGCGAAGCCGAATAGAGGCCACGCCTCGTAGGGGCTGACCGTGTGGACCGCGGAGAGCCACCCGGGCCCACGGGGGGCTCGAGCCCTTCGCCACTTATTCTAAATTCAAATATAATATTTAACATTTCAATTTCCCAAGTTAAAGAGAGCCGTTTGTGATACTGTAAAATATGAATTTCAAAAAGAATTATTGATTATATTAAATACTCAATAACGAGCGCTTTAAATGAAGTGAAATTTGTAGAGACACAGCATAAATATAATGAGCTAACTTGTTAATTCTAGCATGCGTCGTTCAGTTCTTGTCCATCACACCTCGCGCTTACTCGTAAATAATTGTTTTAAGTACGCACATAGTTTATAGACTATGACGTTTGTAATTTACATATTCAGTAACTTTATATGTGAATATATATGTGAATATATATGTGAAAACAATATAAGTGATTTCAGTGACAATCTTTATTTTCATTTACAACTTTCTGATAGGAGTAATGTGAAGATAATATCACAATAATATGTTTCGTCAGTCTTTAACATTACGGATAAATTTATTGACTTTTGTTCGAAATCGATGCCGTTAAGTTACTGCATAATATAAATATTTTATACAGTTACATAAAAGATATTAGTTACGTATAAAGATAAGAATATCTCTTACGAATTAGGTCGATGTACTGAGGTAGGTTGTTTAACTTCAGGGAGGCAGTCTTTTATTCTTAAGTCTTCTAATTTGGGCACTGAAACAGAATGAAAGATTAGCGTTGTACGAAAGGAACTTTTTTGAAGGCTCACCTACATTTCATTGGAAGAAAATAATATGCCGAAAAAGATAAAAGGGAGGAAAAACTTTTTCATATATTATACTGTCTGCCTCGAGTAGCGTTTGATTACTTTTTCGATTTCTCTTATATAATATTATATAAAAAAGTTTTTTAATATCTTTCGTTATTATCGTGAATTTATTTGTGGCTAACAAAGCTTTTTTATGGCTGTTAGCTTCCTCCTGGATATTCTACATTAAACTATTTTTCATTCATGAACTTTGAGATGTTAACAAAATCAATGTCACAGAATCCGTCTTTATAAAACTAAGACTAAGTTAAACCATCAGCATACAACACGTCTCAATTTGACGTCTTCTCTTCTATTAATTAATGATTGGTTTAGTTTAAGGTCTAACTTAATGACCCCACTGCAAGGGCTCAGGCCTTATGGATGGTTAAGGAGGATGGACCATGATCCTCCACGCTGACCCAATGCGGATTAGAGGGTATTAACGACTACAAATGCAGCAGGGAGCAACGGATGAACGTGCCTTCAATAGCTTGAGATAATAATTTTTTGGTCACCCATCCCTTGACGGACTCTTGCGAAAGTTGCTTACGAACAACAATCGCGAGCTGGGGCGCTTATACACTACGCCACTACTTATAAGAGGATAAAAGCTGAGCCTTAGCTTTAGTATAAAATAAATTTTGAGTACTTACCGTCGTGTAGGGATAAATGCGACATGTGTGATGGGCGTGCGTTGCGTCTAGATGGTATCCGAGTGAACGCAGGTGGGGGCCTGGGTCTAGATCCTCGTCCGCTATTAAAATAATAAAGAAATTAATGACCAAACCACGTATATCTACACAAATAAAATAGACTTGAATTTATCCTGAAATACATTATAAGGGCTACGGTACGTCAATTTTTTTTTTATTTATTTGTATTTCGTATAAAAATATCGTAAACCTTTTTTTCGCGGTTACCGCTTGCAGCGTGTAACGCTTTGTATAAAACTGTTAAAGGAATATTTTTGTCTATTGTAATAACGTTTATATAATAAAAGTTCCTATACAGTTCGCGTTCCATTTAGTTTATTCAAAGTAATTTAAAGTAGCCGAATAATAATAATAAGGTTTGATCGATCACGTGAGCCTAGTGCGGATTATTGGGTGTTAACAACTGCAGATGCAGCCCGGACTAACAGTTTAACGTGTCTTCGAAGCACGAAGGAGTTAGAGATAATAAATTTTTGACCACCTATTCTATGACCGGCCCTTACCATAGTTACGTAATAACATCATAATATCAGCATCTCAGAACTTACAACTGCGCTATTGAACACTTTCTAACTATCACGATTATTTACAAACACACTTCCATGGTGCAATTCTATAACAAACAAAGACAATAAATTTGTAGACAATCACAATTGAGTTACTAAGTAGAACATGGTATCTAGCTTCAAATGCTAGAAGCAATATTACTTTAAAAATTGAGACAAGAAAATCCGAGTATGCATCCTCTGTTTTGTACTATACGACTGGTAAATTTCTAGCTCGCTGTCGATAACAGAAAGTAACTGTTTCAAACTATCGGAGCAAGTTTTATGATGCCATTTATTATCCATGGTCCAGAAACTGAGTCACTAGTCAACCGTCGGTGCCGACTGATAAGGAGTTGATCAGTGTAATGACTTTATTAAATTCATTCAACACTGTATAAAATTAATCTTTATACTAATTATAGATTAATATTAATCTTAAGTATTTTTTTTTTAAATAGCAAGTTTATATAAATACATTAATTAAGTTACTACATTAGGCTCATTTAATTGAAGTAGATAACTGAAAAACTTATAAATATCTTTATAGATAAGGAAATTGTTTTCTAAATCGGCTTTTACTAGTCATACTAGCCTCTTAGCGATGGAAAAAGAAAGGAGTTTGAAATATTATTCTCAACTATCAATGTTACATTTACATTCCAAAGCTTTTTCACTTTAAAGTACCTGGTTTTAGTACCGCGAAACCCATCAAAAATAGTAGTTTGTCAAGTGCTTTTTATAGTTCACATATAACTTAATAGTCCGGGACTGAGCTATCGTAAACTTTACTACATCATATATTACTCTATTCTAGGTGAAGCACACAAATTTTGCGCGCAACAAAGTTATTGCCTTGCGACAAACAAAGCAATGGCCATTCTCGTGGTTTAAGTTCTCAAGTCGATCTTCGATACTGAGTGACTAAGTACATTATACACTGTATGACATGACCATAAATATCAAGAATTACGAGTTTTCATACAAGTCAACGCCTTCGCTATCATATATCGACGAATACGGAACTCGATTTTAGACCTTCTGCCTAGTAGTAGACCATAATAGTAGTAGCTAATTTAGGTTGGCCCAACCTTCGACCAACTTTGCTACTATGGCTGGCATTCGCCAGTCAAGATGAGTCGACCGATAGGTTGTCACTCGTAAAGTCTCTCAATTAGGTAAATCCCTTGAGTGCCTGTTAAGATAACTTATAAGGAGTATGCCTGGGGGAGCGATCCTGTAAATGTAGTTCGGAGCTTAAGACTGTCTAGACAACGAATTGATCAGAGTTCTTAAGGTGAAATGTCACGGTTTCATTAGTTTTGTCAGTGAATAGATGGCGTTGGCTTTAATAGATGTTTTAAGTATTTTTGTCAATAAAAATTTCCATATTATTAGATAACTAGCTATTATCCGGCGACTTTGCAAAGGGTAAGCCATTTGTCGACTTCACCCGCGTATTATGCAAATGGCAAATCGGTCCAGTAGTTTCGAAGCCAATGCAAACAAACAAACAAATCTTTCCTATTTATAATATCATTTTGTTTTAATAATATAAAAATACTTCATTGAATCTGCTGATTGATATCATAAAAATGTATGAATAAATTTAAATAATATCAATAAACGTTTTGCTCCACTAAAAAAAATATTAAAGATGGCATTTTGATACTTTATCTAATTAAAGAAACTGCACTTGCTTCTTATATTTTCGCGCACACAAAATGAAATATTATGACCATTGGTAAACATTGCTTTAGAAATAAAGTAAAAAAATCGATATTGCGAGTCATTCGAATAGGATCCTTTAAGATTGATTTGGGAAAAAATCGATGAAGTAAATATCGATCTATTCTCCTACATTAATACGAGGGTCAAACTGAAAGTTCTTAGAACTGGCCACTTATAAACAATATAATAAAAAAATAATTCTAAAATTTGAAAATATAACTCTTTGCCAATATTACTGAGTATATATTTCATTCATTTGTCATTTGTTTTACGATTTGGCGGCAAATTGAAAATTGTCTGTGTCACGTCATCATGAATTTAACACGAGAAAATTTTCGTGCAATGATTTTTTATGACTTTCGATGTCATTTAAGTCAACAAGAAAGTTATGATAGACTACGATTGGCCTTTCACGATGAAGCCCCATCTCGTGCGACTGTTTACAACTGGTTTAATGAGTTTAAACGTGGTCGCACTAATCTCACCGATGATTTACGTGAGGGACGGCCTTCTACGGCGACGACTGAAGATAACATCTGTGTTGTGCGGCGTATGATAGAGACTGAATAAAGAGTGACCTATCAACAGATTCGGACAAGCTTAGGCATCGGTATGAGTCAAGTGCACAAAATCCTCCACGAACATTTAGCGGTCAGGAAGCTTTGCGCCCGGTGGATATCCCATAATTTGACTGAGGCTCAAAAACTCCATCGTGTGGATTGGTGTCGTAAAATGATTGAAAGATTTAACGGAGGTGACTCAAATGCTGTGTTCGACATACTAACAGGTGACGAAAGCTGGATTTACTGTTATGATCCTAAAACCAAAAGACAATCTGCTCAGTGGGTGTTTCCTTTCGAGGAGTTGCCAACTAAAGTGAAGTGAGATCGAAGTGCGGGAAAAAAAATGGTGGCCTCGTTCTTTGGAAGGATAGGTCATTTTGCAACAATTGTGTTAGAGGATCAAAAAACAGTTTCTGCAGAATGGTACACTACCAATTGTTTGCCACTTGTCTTGGAAAAAGTTCGAGAGAAACGACCTCGCAGTAGGATCCTCCTTCACCACGACAACGCCTCGTCGCACACCGCCAAGCGAACGATCGACTATTTGGCGACATCAAACGTTGAATTACTGGGTCACCCGCCGTATAGCCCCGACCTCGCGCCTTGTGATTTTTATTTATTTCCAAAAATTAAAGAAAAACTTAAAGGAAAGCGGTTTATGAATGCTGAAGAAGCGGTGGCTGCGTATCGCGATGCCATTGAAGAGACCCCTAAGGACGAGTGGGCAAAGTGCTTTTCCCAGTGGTTCCATCGCATGCAGCGGTGTATTGACGTGAATGGACAATATTTTGAAAAGATATAATAAAACTAATAACTGGCTAATGTAATCAGTTTTTGATTTTCTAAGAACTTTCAGTTTGACCCTCGTAAACAAGGTTTAGCGTCAGAGTAAATTTACGCTAAAATTGCAATTTTAGTATTAGTCCAGATTCATATTATATAGAGAATAAGCAAACTTACTTTCTAGGAGTAAAAATTACTCCCGCAGAACATCGTATTAGGTTAACCTTTGCTAAGTCTCTGTTTAATAATATGAATTTTGATTGATAAGCGTAGTCTCAGCGTAATTTACTCCAACGCTAAACCTTGTTTATTATTATAATACTGATAGTGTCGTATCAAACTTTGTATCTAAATTATTGGGATATTATCGAAATATTACATTAAGGAAAATGAAAACTGATAATATTTATGTTATGATTATGCCGTTATTTGCTAAGTTAATGAGGAAAATAAAATATTATAATATTATATTTTTAGACAATAATAAAGATTGATTTTCGATCTGTACGTTTTGCGATGGTCTTATGATCAATTTGGATTGCAGAAAAGCCAAGATCGAGTTCAAAATGATCGATTATACATAAAAACTACCTGTTCCTCAATCTCGATCCCATAGCGAAGATATCGGCGGAAGCAGGAGCCGTTTGTTGTAGCCTGAAGAAAGCATGGTGGTCGGAACAACATCGCCAGAGGTGGCGGCACGCGGACCTTGTCGGTGACTCGAACCCGTATGTCGAAGTCTCATTCTGAAAAAATAATATTTTGTAAATACCCAATTTAAAAAAAATGAGTAATAGTTGACAATTCTCTTTATTATACTAGCCGTTTACCCGAGACTTTGCCCGCCTAAGATGCAGTTTCCCGAAGATGAAAGAAATTTTACAATTTGTCCAGTACTTACGATGCAAAGATTTAAATTTTTCCTCTTTGTAATAAAATTTACTTACTATTACGGTTAAAACAAAAATAATAACTCTTGCTATGGTCCTGAGGTTGTGTGCTTTAATAAAAATAGTAGATATTAATAATGAAAAGAATATCATGGATCTTTTTAAATATCTCTTTCATGTTTAAAAAGTATAAATACTTATAAATATACACCTTTTGTTAGGTTTTCATTATTAATAATTGATATAAATTTTAATAAACCATCCATGACATTATTAATTAAGTACAAAAGCGATGAAAATATATGTTGGAATTTTCAAACGCTTCCAATGTGCATCCAATTACTGGAACCAGTGGTTGTTTTGTACATTGACCCGTCGAGCGAGTAATGTTTTGAATGAATTCCGTTCCACTGTTTGTATGGAAAATATTGAATTGTTTACAGAAGGCGCTTTTCTCATCAATTTCATTACATCTATATTTACACTTTCAATATTATTATTCTGGAATTCATTAAAAATATGTTTGCATTAAATAAGATTATCTTCGATAATAACAATATTGGTTGTAATATACTACGGTGTTCTTAAAAAAATTTTTTTTCGGTCGTATTACAAGCTTGGAATAAATCTCAATCCAGCAGAGAGCTAATATATAAGTGCATCATCACATCATCAGTTGTTGGGCCACAGGCCTTCCTTATGGATGAAATAGGGAGAAAGGGCCGTAAACCACCACGTGGGTCCAGTATGCATTGGTGGATATTAACAGCTGCTGATGCCGCCGAGACCAACGGCTTAACGTGCCTCGAGCACGTTGGAACTCGAGGTAATAAATATAAGGTTACCCATCCTACGACTAGCCCTTGCGAAGATTGCTGAACAATCGTATAGTAGACAGCCATCGAACTCTTCCATCATCTAATATATGAGCGAATGTGCATAATTTTATTAAAATGTCGGAGCTTTCGAATGCTATTCATTTAACATAAATATATTAGCTTTCAAGAAAAATCCTATGTGGTAGCAATAAACACCGGCGAATATTTTCATTCCAATATAGACATTTTCTCTGATCTCATAGTATATAGAGAGATATGTTTAATGCGAACTTGTATACAAAACACGCTCTGGCTTTCAGAGTGTTGTTATTCAAATAAGCTCGTAAACTTTACGTATCTTTCAAATCCTTTCAAGAAAGTTACATTCCCTAATAACGTTCATATAGAGCACGTATAACGTGCATTAAGAAACTGCGTGTATAACATGTCCCCGTTCACAGATAATACAAACAAACGGGATGGGCATTTAACGTTAAAACATGGTTTGGAACTCTTTTGATAGATCATGTATCAAAATGTAATCAAAATCTGTAAATTGGCAAAAAAATTGAATAAAAACTTAATAAAACAATGATTATATTTAACAAATAAAATCTATTTAATATATATATTTTAATTACTTAAAATATACGCTTCTTCCCCATAGATGTCGGACATAAAAGGGAAATGTGATTATTATCTAGCATTAGATGCACTCATAAAAGTGCACTTGAGTGCGCACTGTTATGAGTGAATCGGTGATAAAGAGAATCAGAGATGAAATCACAAGACCAATGTTATGATGATGTACCACGCGATATAGGTTTAGAAATTATCATTGGCAAAATAGCTCAAGAAAGGAAATCGATGCTTTGTGATTTGTATTTGTTTAGAATCAAGTTGCCTTGATTTAGCTTATGCGCACTGAAGTCTGAACAAAGTCGAGGTCTAGAATGAGGGTTCAATAAGAGACTTAAGTTTCGCTATAGCATTTATTTAAGTACACGGGCAAAAGCCTTTTATCCGGAATAACAATTGTATATATGAATTGTGTGAAAATTAAATCATACCGCGATTCACAATTGGTAAGCGCCATCTATTTATTATTCCAAATTGTAACTAATGATAATATATAATTATATAACATATACTATGTGTGAACACGCACACGTGTTCACACATAAACGCTGAACATGACTTCCAAAGCACGGAGGAGCTTGAGATAATGAATTGGTCACACATCCTATGATCAGCCTTTGCGAAAGTTGCTTAGCTTTTATACGATAACACCTATATAATTAAGTCTAATGATAATTCAAACAATGATTAACTAGCTGCTTTGACCGCGTAGTCCTGTATTATAAATACAAACCTTCCTCATCAATCACTCTGTATATTGATGTAAACCGAATTGAAATCCGTTGTGTACTTTAAAAGAACCTAGCGTACAGATAGCGGGAAGCGACCTTGTTTTTTTACCAACAAAAATATATATTTGAATATTGGTACTATTCGACGGCAAATCCATTATATATATATGAGATGATACCCTTTTCTTGTAGATGAGAGAAAAAGATTAAGCTCAGGTACCGCGTCAGAATGCGTTATATCTTCCGGCCCCAGTTCTGTAAATACTGAGCTCAGTTCTGAGACTTATCTGTAATTGCCTGCTTGGGAATGTCTTTCAAGGAAGCGTACAAGGTGGACTCCATCTTGCACCCACCATTCAGAATGCGTTATCGGGTCGGGCGATCCGAGAAGCGGGGTCAAGTGACGCCAGATTTTGATGTTTATTTATTTGCGATTCGTAACAGTTGGTGGGGATTTCTTTCAAGCTTAATTTCAGCGCTTGGGAAATTCAATTTGTGGAATTTATTTAAATCAGGTTTTATATTTAAGCTTCTTACAATTACAATAATATGCTTTATTGCACATTACACAGGACAGAACAAAAATTACACAGAGACAGAAAGAAAAAAATTGTATTTAAAAGACCCCATACATACATTACATGTATAATAAGGCCTTTTGTAGGTTTAGAGCATATGTTTTTTTTTACTCTAAAAATAATTAAAAGATACAGAGGGAATACGCACATTTATCAATTTGCAAGAATCATTTAAAAGATTAACTTTAAAATGAATCGGTTTTAGGAACCTCCGTTTCATTTTTAAAGACCTATAGATAGGTAAGTCTATTTATAGAGACCTCGTACGTGTTTTTTGTACGTGAAGCATTATATTATACTCACATTTTTATCAGCCACCCGCAACATGAAATAGCGTCCTTTGTAGTACAACTTCGACACTCTCGGCCAATAGTAGTTGGCGACCGTATGTTTCCCACGTAGCAGCAGCAGTCCACTCGGTGCCAGCCCTAAGAAATACTCGACGCTGTCTTCGCCCTGTCGCAATTTACATCATATTGTATTTCATTAACACTCATTTATATCCGTTTTTCCTCTATCAGTGTAATCTTTTAAAGAAAAGCTTCGTAAGGCAATTTTTATAAGAATTATCTTTTAGGAATAATGACAGAGATATATTCAATAAAGTAACAATCCAAGTCCTTTCTTATATCTTGTAGTGTCTACAAAAGATATAAATCTAATAAATATCAAGTGAGTGTTACGGAGTTTCCGCTCAATTACGTTACTTCTGCCAAATAATGAAAATGTCATCCGCGCGACGACAAGTGTCGAAGCGTTGAACACAATCGAAGCTGGATTGAGGACATTTATATCGACACCCCACACCTCGCCACCCCAGTTTTGTATTTTCAAATGTTTCTTGTACTCTTACATAATTGTCGTTCTTCGCTATACGATCTTTATCGGTTACTTTCAACGATTGAACCATAAATGTGAAATTCTGTAGAGTTTTCTTTTTTATATCTAACATTTTGTTAAATAATAATATTTATAAAAGCTTTCATACAACAAAACGTACACACACAAATAAATCAGTAACTATTTGCAACGTGCCGGATTAACATATGTTGCGAGGGATGTTATAAATCATCCATCACAAACTGGAGCATAAAAGCGGCTCGACTATCAAATAAAATATTTACCAGGACGGGATGCAGATCGACACCATACATGTCCAGCCATTTCACTTTGTCCAAGTAACTCAATTCAGCCTGCGCCGGGGATATTCCTCTGTAACAACCGGATAAAAAGTGGCCGTTTGACGTGAGTTTTAAAGTAGCGGTTCAACGCTGGCATATTAAATTATCAGCATTGATAAACATTGACAAGCGGAAAGGAGAATGACTTATCACGTTGTTTCAACTTTATTCTAAAGCTCGCAGTGTTAAATAGGTACACATAATTTGCATGTAATTGCGGCTCTCTGAGCATCCAGCGTCCGCAGACTGCATCTTTGCACAGTTAAAAATTCATTCAATTAAGCGAGAAAGGCGGCGAAGTTTAATTTCCGGAGTGCGACGAGATGCTACGGCACGAAAGTGCTATATTCGAGGACTTAATTTCTGTGAGTTTTCTTCACAGTTTTTGAAACTACTATTCCGTATAATAGGAAACGGTACAGTCGATAAATTTATTTATATTTGTATTTAATCTTCTTGCAATCATATTATTCACCTCAGAATGATTTATAGATGTGAAATTTATGTGCAAAGTTTATTATTATTGTTCCACGGTCAATCGTCAACTTTTTCATTGATGGACTGACTGACCTCTTTTGTAAGAAGCTAGTAAAGTACTCTATCCAGTATAAGAATTTAGATAACATTTGACGAATGTAATTTTATATAACTTTTACTACTCTTTGATAAATAATACATATTACTTACGTAAGCGTCCTGTGTATTTCAGCTGCGCGCGCCTCCAACTCAGGTGTCTGATGTGCTAGTAATCGGAACTCGGACACGTAGCCGGACGAGTGTCGCCGGGGGTCGTAATCACCCAGTTCCGCTAAAGAAATGAGAGGTGAATCAAGATTTAATTAATTTATCATTATTATTAGATGTATAATGTTAACATATATTCTTCCCTTATATTTTCCGAGGGCCCGATATTTTATTTAAATATAGTTACACATAGTAAAGATTCCGTATTAAACAATCATTCTGATGTTAATAATTATGAAGGTTAAAACACCATATAGTAGGTACATTTGATTAAGAATATTCGTATATATGACTTGTAGACAGAAACCTCTACGGACTATCCTTCTTACGGAATATATATATTCATGATTTCTTATAAAAAATAATATTAAGATATCATCAAAATACAAAATATAGCATCAACAAAATTTACATGACTTACAAAGTATGAGATATAAATTACGACCCTCCTAAATTGGACATCGTATAACAACGGATACGTTACAATAAAAGTTTCAATTTCATTTACAGTGCAACAAACTTGCGACAGAATCTTAACAAGCTAAAAATAAATATTTTATTAACACAATGTGTCATAGTAAACTCATTTAGCCCACGTGGTAAGTTCAAACAATAGACAGAAATAAACCTCGAGGCGATGCCTCTCAAATTAGAAACAAACAAACTGGTTTAGATAAAATCTAACCGAGTAAATTATATAACAAACATATATATAGTCGAGAGAAGTAATAACTTGAGAAAATGGCATAACTTAAGCTGACATTTAAACCAATAGACGAGAATTAATAAAAAAGCACTGTTAATACTTGTGTATGTGTTATAACTATTTGCTTAATTAATTACTTTTACTCGACTGTAGATCGGGTGTAAGAATAAAATAGCAACTGAATATGACACAACCTTAGTTAACAACTGCAATTAATACGGCACAGGATCGCGTCCTATGCAAACATATTGTGTACATCTTGTGTACTTTAACACAATACGAAATAATGGTTTTGGATGTGAAACAATCCTCTGTAGAACACACACAACATGGTAAACAAACGCTTTAAGTTTTGCTAATTGAAACGGCATAAGGTTGCATCAATTATTTAAGCTTCATTGCTCATAAGATATGTTCAGATGGCGGATATTAAACAATTTAATATTCTTTATTGGCCAACGGGAAAGCTAAATACAAATAAAATGGCGGTATATAAAACTTAAAATATAAAGTGAAAATTCTGAAATTTGTTCTTAAACTTCTATTAATGATTTCACTCTTATTTTTTGCACTTTCTTTAAACTTACATCTGTCTACCTATCGCGTAGCTTCCAAAAAAAAAACAAAAACAACTATTATTACAACCATTCAAATTTTGTTTTATTAAAAATATTAATATCAACCAATTCAGGAAAAAAAGATCGTTAAACATTGGGTGAATGTATTGATTAGAAAACCTGTTACTTAAGAACCTTACTATACCACAATCATGTAAAATAAATTAATATTATTAAAAAAATCTATGACTCGATTTCGAACTCAAATTCAATTACCTTTTTTTTATCTCCCTTTTTATTTTTTCCTCTACAGAAATAAGCTTTATGCTTTCTTATCTGTATTTATATGGTGGATCTTTTTAGTATCGTAATTCTAATATTTCATAGAGTATTTCATGTTTAGAAGTTTACTGGAGCAAAGAAAACGGACCGTACTATACTCGAAACATTCTAACTGTCTGACAGTAATTTCCCGTCGTAGATCTTTTTTTTTGCCCTCGGAAATCGTAACATCTGGTCCGTCATGTTAGTAAATACTTTTAAAGGAGTCGGACCTTTCTTAATATTCAAATGAATTCCTTCGTTCAGAAATATCATAATAGAGATATTTTTATATCATATTTATAGCGAATTACCATCGAAAGTTTCTATTGATTACGAAATATCAGGAATTAGACCTTTGATTTGTCTGGAAAACTGTCATTTTTAATCATTTCAATCTATTTGGTAGTCTCCATATTCCGTAACTTATTTGGCATAACAGACTTGACTTATGCCAAGTTATTTTTAGATGAAGGCATTAAAACTATTAAGCATAATTATCGTTTAGCTGAAATTTAATACATCTATAATGGCATATTATGAGGAGGGCAGAATTCTTTTGGCGTAATTACCTACTAACTACTGGGTTGTAAATAAATAGTAATGATGATTTTAAGTAATTTTTGTAGAAATAGTATATCATAAATGTAAAATAACGTTAACTAAATATTTTTTCCATTAGTAAATAGCTAAGTCAAGCAAAAAGGACGCTATGGTACGGCTAAATATAATTTTAGACTGATACCTGAATACTTTACGTATTTTTCTGAGAATATTCTTTTGAAATAGATTTTTTCTTTTCGGAAATGATAATCGTAAATTATGAATAGAAATATCGATGAATTGTTGTTATAAACTTTAAAGAGATTCCGAGCGATGTATACTACTTACAAACATCAAACGAATTCGTTTGCCGATGGTTGCTTGTGGTTGCTATCAAACATGTACCATCGCGGCGTGCACGCCAAAGGGGAATCTGTTTCGCGTTATATGTGAATGATCTCAGAGCACGTGAACATCGATCATGCGGTAAAGAGGCGGTCCAGCTGACGCCACCGCTAGACGAAATGTTGAAGCTGCGGCCACGATTTAAGATTCACACAAAAAACAGAACACTTAAATTTATTACATTCTAGCAATGCTAATTCTTGATTATTTGATGGATTTGAAACTTTACGGCGACTGGGGGAAAGTAACAAAAAAATTAAAAGTAAACTTTAGTGAAGTAAATCAAAACCATCAATAAAATAAATAAAATTTTATCACTATTTTTTTTCTAAAAACAAATAATGTATATCTTATTCAGGGAAACTTTCTGTTGATATATAGATGTGACTTTTTTCGGTAGAATACGAATAGATAAACGGCACTTAAAGTCCATATCTGTAGATATGATTACTAGAGTAACGCAAATAATTATGTAATACAAATATTTAATTATACATCGAAAATTGATTTGAAGAGCATTCTCACCCATTGATCCTAAAAACAGACAATAGATAAAGTTTGAAGTTTAATTTCTTTCTGTAAGAGATAATTAGCCGTGCTCTACACGTATGCATGAACCTAACAGGGAAAATTACAGAATTATTTGTTCTCTGTGATGATAAATGTGAAATATTCCGATGTATTTTATTGTGCAGAAAACATATTTTCACCAACTCTTGTTATTTCACAAACACGGTAGGTTAAATTCGATTAAATTATAGCATTTTCTACCAACAAACCTGTATAAGGTTTGTTAATAATAATTACTATTAGTCTCATTCATATATGGCTCGACATAATCCTAAAATATCCATCAAGTAGTTGCCTCTTAGTAATACATCTCGTTTGGTGTCTTACTCCCGTCAAGTTGATTAATGCGAGAAGTGGCACTCAAGTGCTAACTCGTTGCGAATTACAACCGAACCACAATGTCCGTGTTAAGTCCAAAACCGACCGATCCTTCCAATGTTCACCGAAAATAGACGAGCAGCAGTGATAAATTAATTTTGTTCTGGCCTTTTTTTTTAGAACTTTTCTCGAATTTCTCATCTGGTATACCACGTAAAAAACTAAAAATAAAATCGGAACAACTAAAGGAATAGGGCGGGGCACTTTGACAAGAATTTATTTATTTGTTTATTCTGGAACAACATTGATGTACCTACCTATATACATATTAATGAAACATTTCAGTTTTTAATAATATAAGTATATTAAATTTCCTGTAATTCCGCGTCGTTTACCATATCAAATTAAGCTCAAATAATTGTTTTAATTACTCAAGCAATTATTTCAATATTTATACCTCCGTTGCAGGGTCCGTGATTAATAAATAGACTATATATTTTTGATAATATATTTGTTATGGCTACAAAAGAAATTTTGAATAGAAAAATGCGACTCAGATCATGATACTGAAAGATTAGATTACTAAATGACTAAATCAGTTTAAATATCAAAACATACTCCTCAAATGGCAGTGAATTATTCTTGTTGACTTATTGACAGCTCATTTGAGTTCGGAATCTCATATAGGGCCAGCAAACGCTATTAAGTAAGCAAACGAGCGGTCGGAACACTGTGATGCGTCCCCAGGGCCCAGGGTCGCTGATGCGAGTGAGATTAGATGCAAACGACGCCGCGCCGCTGATGGCTCATTTACCCCCTGAATAACACATCGATATTAGACCTTGCCTCCTCACAGGCCACTTACACCCTCCATAACATCCGCATAATAAGCAATTTTTCGTTGATTAGAAATATAAAATTTTGGATAACATTTTCGTTACATTTAATATGATTACAACAACGCTATATCGCTCTATATTTTCATATTGAATCCCTTGTTGAATGCAGCGAATGCTATAATATAAATCAGCTCTCATTCTTACGCGTATTACAATCTCTGACGTCCTGGGTTCGATTCCCGAACTGAGATGTCTCACCGGTAAAAAAGTGACTTTTGGGTGCAGGTCTGAGTGTTCTAGTAATGTATATTATTAAAATTTTGAGATATTGTTTATGTTTTTATTATCTGGTTTTATCTCACAAATACTAACTTATAGTACAAAATACTTGTATTAGTTGCTTTTTTAAAGGAAGACTAAATTCTGCAACACACCTTTTTTCATGTTTTGTATGTATTGAGTGGTAGATTTGCTTTTTGCTTGTCCGTCAGGTAGGTTATTGAAGAATAAAAACTTTATAATTTTTTTTTAATCAATAAGGGCGACCGACATATTGAGTTAAAATGTCGCATAACGTTACACTTTTTTACATTTTCTACAAAATTGTGACGTAGCAAGCCCCCACTCCTCAACTTGACTGCCTAAGCCACTTCTAATATTTTTCTATCATCTGACTAACAGACTAAATAGAATTTCTCTTTTTTACGTCATCCCTGTTTTTTAAATATTTAAACTGGCAACAAAGAATAAATGTCCTTATACATCAACGGAAAAGAAAAGTTATGAGTTTTGAATATTGATTGATATAAATCTTCAAAGGTGAAAGTTAATTAATGTTCTCGTCAAATTCTAATTAAAAAAGTGGAGCGTGAAAAAAATTCTTTGCTACATTTTTTGACAATAAACTCGCTACCAAGTATAATAATATCATTGGCAGGGTTTTTAATATTTCTGTTGGTTATGCGGATATTCAAATGCGAAATAACGGTAATTTGGCTGCATTTGCGGTGAAATGCCTCTCAGTATCTTGGCGTAACGGCAGCAGTGTGGCGTCTTCTCGAGAAGAATGGTTTTCTATTACTTCAAATGACTTTAATGCTATGCTACAAATGCTACATTTAGTCCATAAGTGAATTAGAAAATTAGTATTTGTATTAGTATTATCTATTCTACAGTTGAAAACCAGCCATTATAATAATGCATAAGTTATTGATTACGTTTAAGAAGTGGCACTAAACTGGCAGACATTAACTATTATTTTAGATTAAAAAATTGATTCGATGCAATGATATTACAATTTTTTTCTTTTTATACGAAAATTGATGTCCTAGATTGAATTTATACACTCGAAACGAACGGTTAACGACATTTTGCATATGTTTTAAAAATATTGTGTCTGTTCGAAACACGTACGCGCTATGCGACACATAACAAGCACCCTGAAGTTTATTATTAGATTAGATACTGCTATATGCCATGGAGGCGGTTCAAATATACTATATATGCAAATCTCAGTTGTTTCATTGCTTACGGGTGTAATACTTTTAGAAGATTGTTATTTTTTAACTTAATTCCTATGTACTATTTAAAATCATAGACTTCTTTGTTATTATAAATGGATAGGCGTATAAGAAAAGAATTTATTAGAAATCGGATTGAAACTTTTATAAAATTTTGGTTCTAAGATTTGCATATTGCTTATCTCAAAGCACCTATCTACTTAATCAGCTAAAAATTTCTTGGAAATCTAAAATTTCTAAAATGGAAATCATAAGATATTTAACAGCCATAACAACCACCTACCCTTAGTATTTTTTTATATAATTTAATATTAAAAGCTAGGTATACAAATTACTTGGTTATCAAATACTAATTTAATAGATCGAATTTACCGTTGATTAAAGTATAAAGTACAAAGACTGAAGAATTCCGTCAATACGTGACAACAACAAATATCTACCCAATTATGTGGAGTCGCGTGAGGACATTGCACTAAAAGAGTGAAATTATGTGAGTACCTACCATTGAGTGCCCGAGAAAATAATACACGCACACTCACTAAGTTTAATTTAATACAGACATGATAACATTATATTATTTTGTTTTTTTCTTGCGGTTGCACACATGTTTCACACACAAGCGTCACACAAGCATCTTAGCCGGGTAAAAATCATCAAATAGAACTATTTTAAACGGGTGTGGCGCGTTTATATTTGATTTCATGACTTTTCGTGTTCACTTAACACTAAGATGTCGATTTTTTAAAGAGTATAGCTACTTTTAAAACATTACTATTGAACATATACATAATACAAAATTTTATATTGTATGGAATAGTTTACATTCAATAAATTAAATTATTATTTAAAAATATATTAGACTTATTTACCCCTGACTACCGTAAACTACCACCCGTACCAAATTTAGGAGTTTTGTCTTAAAAGAACCGGCGAAACAAACGCCAACAAAAAGAGATTTAATATTTAGAAAAATAACTTACTGTAAGTTTTTGTTCTACAGTGTGTGATCTGGATTGAGATTTCAGTTGACTAATTACTGGATCGCAAGCCGGTTGTATATTCCGAAAAACGTGCTTGACAAGAAAAGCTTCATATCTATTAAAATTCGTCTTTTTCTAATTTCAAAAGCCTCGCGTATCATTGCGAGCCGATGTATAATTTGCCAGACCAGTATGTACTTACATAAATACACTAACGAAACATACCTGCATGTTTAGAAATTCACATTTATACTGTCATAAAAATAGTGCAGTGCAAATACCTTTTTTAAATCGGAAAAAAAATCTGTGCTTATTGATGAATTACATTTTTTTGTAGGTATTAATTTCATATTAAGACCTGTTTAGTACGTACAGAAAGAATAAATAAAAAAAGTATCACAGAAATAAAATTTTATATAATTATAAAGGCAATATTCTATTTACAATAAAGAAGCTTTATCTCGATTCGACGCAAATTATAGAGGCCCTCGCAATGCATATTATATGATCGGTCAATTAGTTATCGAAAATATTCTCTTCATACTTATAATGTCCCTAAGGACTTCTTCAGGTTGATATAAAATAGATAATATGTTTATATCAACAGATAATCGGGATAATTTTAGATGTTTCTATGATTAGATAGAACTAACCAATAGGTCCAGCTATACGTTATCGAAATCCGACAGTGTTTTAAAAGAAACTAAAAGTCTTACAGGCACTGTGAATGACAAAGAAGGAGAATGACTTTAAACTATGTATGTAGTTTTACAGCCAATTGCACAAACGCCCATTAAATGTAATTAAACCTTTATGGACGTTTGTGCAACTGACCGATAGAAAAACATCACATACATTGCTCAGATGCCAAATTAAGTACCTGACTAAACCACTAATCTTATGGAAATCTGAAACAACGAAGGTAATGCAACTTCTTCTATTTTTTACATTGACTCGATCGGGAATCAATCCCAAGTTATCAGAGGTAATAACATCTTGTAACCAGCATGAAAACCACTCAGCTACGTAGGTCGTCAATGATAATAAAGGGAGTTTGATTAATGATACTTAATTTTTTTTCTGCAATTTAATTTTATTTAGTAATATTAATTTTGACTTTGAGTTTTTGTTTTTCCACAGAACAAATTTTCAAATAGCTTATCCTACTAACTGGACTCGTATCTTAGAAGTCTGGTGCTTTAGAAAACCTTGTATAATAAAAATGCACACCTTTTATCAATTCTACTTTTGATTAAGGAGAGTTTTTCACGTTAAAATATAACCCAGTCTTGATACAAATATATCTCAAACAAAAATTGGAAAGTTTAAAGTGCAATATTTTCTATAGCACGTAGAGGCACAACGTCAGCGATTCGCAGTATCGTCACAGAATAAATAATAATACACGAGCTACACGGTGTTGTGTGGTTGTATTCGCCAAGTGGTAAACAGCAGGTTAGTGTCCGACGCCCGCTTCATCCCACTTGGCAACCACGGCACGAACGACACAGGCGGATTTTGCTCAGACTATCTTAAATTTATTGACTATGTTGCTCACCACATAGTCCACAATTAATTTGGACGACATCACGGTTATATTAATTTTATCTCGATAGCTGCCCTAGAATATACTTTTTATAATAATAGAAAATGTTATGGTTCTAATATATTTTATATTTTTATATCGTAAAGTAATACTATTTTAACCTTATTAATAAAAAACGTATAACGATGTTTAGTTACATATAGCATTACAGTATTTTGTATGACACTGTAAATAATTTGACCTATATATATGATTTCGTTGGACCAGCACAATATTGAATAATTTTATGGAAGCTTTAAACTGCCATCAATTGAACACATTTAAAAACCACAATAATCATATCTTAGGTCTGTTTTTGACAAATAAACGTGGCTGTGATATTTATTCAGTATCAGATCCTATACTTCCTGTGGATAGACATCATCCTCCTTTTTATGTACTAAAAAAAAACAAAAGCTTGTGATCGTTATATACAAAGTAAGCCATATTTGAAGTACTGTTATAATGCGTTGATTATATCAAGATTGTTTAATCTTGATATAATCCATAGCTAAAAATGACTAGAATCACTTATCACTAAATAAAAATAAAGCATGAATTTCGATGAACAAATATAAAACTGATCCAGTTATGTTGTATTCTCAATATATAGAAAAAAAAAAATTAAGTCTTTATCTAATTTTTTTATAATAATTATATACACAACTTAGAATGCAGTTCAAAAAAAGAAATTAAATACTTCTGAAAATATATATAACAACGTTGTAACGTCTCTGACATTACAATAAGTGTTTGAATGATGGAGTATTCCCATATATTTGGAAAAGTGCAAGGATCGTTCTTATATACAACAAATGGGTCAAAGAATCGATGACAGGAATTATCGTCCCATATCGATACTACCAGTCGCTTCTAAGGTGTTTGAAAAGCTTGTCCATAATGCTATTTATCCACACATATGTAATATTATCTTAAAAGAACAGCATGGATTTGTTAAGCGTCAATCGACAATACCTTTTTTTTAATTTGTACTTTGGATTTATTCAACGTGTTTGATAAGAATAAACAAATTGATAGTATCATCATTAGTGTAATACTATCAATTTGTGAAGTCAACTTCAGAAAGGCTTTTGATGTAATCGATCACAGAATTTTGTTCGAGAAGATTGCTTTTAAAGGTAGACGTGGAAATGTTTGGCAATGTTTTAAGTCTTATATTTCTAATTAAACACAAAAAGTCGTGATTAAAGGTTCAGAATCACTAGTATCTAATGTTTCTTCCGGTATTCCACAAGGATCTTTATAAGCCCTATCCTATTTGTCACAGCAAATTCCTATTATATGCTGATGATCTTAAAATATAACAAAAAATTTTAGAAACCAAAGATCACAAATTGCTAGAAGAAGATCTTGATAGATTCAGTAACTACAGTCGTGTAAACAATCTTCAACTCAATATAAACATATATAAATAATATATTTCACTAAAAAAATACACTAGAATTTGTATATTTAATCGTAACCAACGATATTGAGTTAAAAATAAGTCCTAATTTATGTAACATTTAGCGTAAATGTATCGTTATCTTGTTTGTGGTTCATAAATAAGGAATGGAAAAATATATATCAGCTTATAACCTTTAAGTATACGTACTTAAAGTAATGTAAATGTATTTGTTGCTGTAGTCAGTTTAATCTTAGAGTTTACTAATAAAAGTTGAGAAATGTAAAAGACGACATATAAAAGGGATTTACCTATGAAATTGCCGTTCTGCCGTACTGGCCATTTCAATCTAATTTTTTTTTACTGTTAATTAAATTTCTGATAAATTTTAATTTAAAGACATGGAATTCTTTTTTCTAAAATCACTTCATTTTTTCATTTCAAATCACACATTTCATTTTATTAACAGATAGTGCTTTTTTTCAACGCATTCGAACATTTTTCGTTGCCATGGATAAGTTAAGTGGTTAGGGTTGGAAGTTCTCCATCATCAGCCGTAATCATCAGACCTTGCGTCTACAGAGTTCTACTTTTTCCAGAATTTGGATAACTTCTTGGCGGGAAAAAAAAATCAATACCCGAGAGGCAATACAAAATGTCTTTGAAGAATTTATTGCCTCTCGCACAGCTGATTTCTCCAAGAAGGGCATCAATAACTTACGAATGCGTTGGCAAAGATGCATTGCTTGCATGGGTAATTACTTTAATTAATTAATCTGGAATTATTCAAGAAACTTTAATTATTAATATAATAATCTGTTCAAGACAGTCCATATAGAAGTAGCCTGAATTATTTTTCACTTTTATTATTAAGTATATTTCAATTTTTATTTTATTTTATTAAGTTATAAGCAACCTATTCCGCCTTTAATCTAAATTTCATTTAAGAAATACCTATTTCATACATAAAACAATCTTCTAGTTATTTAAGACATTATAATTGTATAATATTATACATATTATGTTAATAAAGTTATATCTCCTATATTTGTACTTATGAAAAATAAAGAATCGATAAATTCTATAATTACAGTCTGCCGATTTTGATTAACCTAGCGAACTGCCAAGAGGAAAGTTGAAGAACTAATTTTCTCTTTGCTTTACAGCGAAATAAATCCGCAAACTCGCTTTGTGTACTTACTGATATATAAAGTTCACAAAATACTTTGGAGTTTGAATTTATTTAAACCAGTCTGTTTAATATTTGAAATGGTATCAGTAGAATGATACTCTCGATTTATTTTTAAGTAATTGCTTATGCAAAATAACTAAACTGTCAATATTCTATTCTTTTTGTTTTTGAAGCCATGTTTCTGTAAGATCTTTGGCGCAATTGTTAGCGTGTTCGTTCTGCGATACAGAAGTAAATATATACTTTCACAAGGGCCTGTCATAGGACGGATGGCAAAACAAAAAACTTATCTCGATTTCGTCTGCACCTCGGAAGGCATTTTAATCTTTTGGTTCTGGCTGCATCTACAGTCGGTATTAGCCAGTAATCCACACTGGGTCTACGTGGTGGGTAAGGGTCCATTTGATTCGATTCATCAATAGGGAATTTCTGTTCCCCATCAGTGGACATTATAGTAGATATTAATAGGCTGGTATTATGTGGAATCTTAGATGTTATACAATAACTAATCATGTCTAGTCTTACTACAGAAAACTCTTTTTATATCTTTAATATTTTAACGAAAGTTTAATTTCTACTTTCGGAAATTTCTAATAAATCTATCCTCGCATAATGGGCGCGTTTAGTTCAGTTACTAGACTGTTGTATTACCCGAATAATGAACAAGAATATTAATGTTACTAAATTGTGAAATCATCTTGTGATTTATTACCTTTTTTATGTATATCATATTTAAATTAAAATATTAGATAAAGTCAAAAATATAATTATCATCATCAGCCTATTAATGTTCCCTGCCGAGAATGAATCCTATGGATGGAAATCGAATAGGGAGAATGGATCGCAGCCCACAACCCACCAGGCGGGCCCATTGCGGATCGGTGGGTGTTAACGACTGCTGATGCAGCTGGGATCAACGCCTTAACGTGCCGTCTGAAGCACCAAGCAAGCAAGCAAAATATACCTACTTAATAATAGATTATATTAGTTTTGTTTAATCGATAAAGACCAGTGTTGTAGGTATTTAAGATGCCTTATGATACGTTTATAATATTATCGGAGGGTTCATAATCTATTTAAAGTAAAATTGTCTACTTACATTGTAAAACATACGCAGCCAACTCTGCGGCGAGGTCGAAACTGACTGGCAATCTACCACGGAGAACATCTTGTTTCAACTGCAGGAATAACTGGTACCTGTACATCAAATAACAATAATACAAATCTTATATGAGCATTGAAAAAATGCGATATGTATCGCTATGCATAATTATGCATATCGCTTGCGCAGAGTACTCCGGCTTGCTGTACGGGACGTTTGGATCGCTGACCCCACCCCGCACTAGAATAATCAAAACTCGCAGCAACGATACAGATTTCTATGGATAGTGATACGTATCGTTCGTTAGAATACTTTCGGTCATTGTGTGGTCCATAAAAATAAATTGTAACAAGAAAACATTCAACATTAAATCAAAACAGCAAACCTGATCCTAACGGTTATGATTAAAACGGATGTTATCAAGTGGACTTTCGTCTGACAAACAATTGATAAAAGCCCCTAGAAATAATTGTTTGTATCTAGAACTGTCGACGGCATCATTACGAATAGAATCAAAGATTGTTCTCAAAGACACAGTAGTTGCAATTAAATTGATACGCGTCACCGGAACGTATATACGAAAACGAAGAAAGAGAAACAGACAAGATTTGAATAAAATATGTTTGAAACGATGTTTTAAAGGGGCAAGGACAATGGAAAGCCGTCTAGACCATCTTCAGAACGCAAAGAGTTTTCTATAAAAGACATTCCGTTATGAAGTCTCGAAATATTTCACGAACGATTTTTACCCCAACTCATTTATTTAACCATTTTTCTTTAACCAAGAAGGAATGCTTATTGAAAGCATTGTTGAGAATATAGCCCTTAAAAGGAAATTAAATATTAAAAGACCATCACGGCAAAGGTTTTCAAAGAATTTACGAGTATTAAAACTGTGGCCTCAAGTAAAAGAGAGACGTACCTACTGGCATAAAGGCGGGGGCGGGCTCGGCGCGTCAACACCACCGTAATACCAAAATTTTAATAAAACATCGTAACGTTTCCTGTTCCCCTACCTTCCGTTAGAAGAATAAGATAAAGACTAATGAAAACTTTTTAAATGTTCTACTCTGAAACTTAACGACTTCGATTGTATCCATTGTTGAATTTTAAAATAGAAAAGTTTCTAACAAAAATTAATTTTATTGACGTCGTATTTATTCGGTGGGAAAAATCAAAGCGCTCTTTCGTGGGTACGTATTTAATTGAATCCGTTAAAAAAATGAGATTTCTCTGTTAAATTTAAATTCAGCATTGACAGAGGCTGTGTCGTGCAGATGCCGGCAATTTATTTCGCCGTGATGGCTCCGTTGCTGTTTTACGAACCCACCAGTTTAATAAGAACACTTCTTTTATTCTGTGCCAGTTCAAGTTCTGTTTTATGATCATGGAAGTTTAACAGTTCGTAATAAAACTGAATAGACATTGCGCAGTATAATCAGTCACCGTCGCCGTCGATCGATACCTATTAAAGTTTAAAACACTCGCTTTTAAAGATTTGAGAAGTCTACTTTCTTCATTTTTAAATTGAGCCACAAGAATTTATGGTTTCCTTACAGATAAGCGATTTCCTTTGAGCGGAAACCAATAAAAATAACAAAGTTAAAGAAGGAATTCTTTTGATATGCTACATGAACTAATGTGTATATTAGATGTTTATAAATATGTTGATATTAGACGCCAGAGGCGTTAGTAATAACGCAACTGCTCTATTTATTATTAAAACGTAAGTAATTGCCTTGAATGATGTCGGTTCCCGTGGAGCGTCAGTTCTAGATACCCATTATAAGATATTATCACATGTGAAACAGTCATACAGATGTTAAATACCTAATACTTTTTAGAGACTGTCATAATAAATGTTATTTTCATAAAGAAAATATACCACCTAAGGAGAACATCATAAACATAAAAATATCAAATAAATATTAGTCATAGTCTCTTCTGCTGGTGACGTTAAGTTAATTATTTGCTTTATTCGTTCACGTTTCGTGAATAAAATAGTTCATTTCATTTATAATTCAAAAAGTTTGTTAAAAATAGCACCAGAATATATTAATGTTTTTTAAATAGGTATTTTAAGTATCACTAATGCACAAAAGATACGTAATATCTGAAGCACCAAACTACTCACGTAAAAAGCTTTTATTACACTATGTCGTAGAGGATAAGTGATAAAAGTAGCCAAAGAGAACCAGATGGCGGTTACCATCCGAAAATAACAAACGATGAAAAACTAGATAATAAGGATCATATAAATTTACTGTCTTCTAATTTGTAAAAATTTCGCGGCTCAAATCCAATTATATATATTTTTTCTTTTATATGAAAGATTGATATACAATGATGAATTAACAGTGAAGATCTAAAGTAACATTTTTGATAGAGTAAGAATTTTATTAGTTTTTAGTCCAAATATTTAAAAAAATGTACTACATATATTATAAAGCTACTATTTTCTAAAAAGAAATGATTTCTTTGAATTTGCGTTAAAGTTTAAATTTTCTGTAGTGCTATTTAATAGAAAATCATCGTCACGAGCATAAGTTAATTTTGAGCAGCATTTCTAACGAATATTTATTTATTAGTTCCATTAGGTACTGATAGGTTCAAACTTATACATTTACATCCTCCATCATCCCTTATTTTATCCCCATGGGGAGATGAATTTATCAAAATCCTATTTAAACGGACGTCTTAATCATAGTAGCTTCAATCTTTAATTTCAGTTCAATCAGTCGAAAATCTAAGAAGATTTATACAAAATTTCATCCCCTACGTTAACCCCTTAGGAGTAAAATTGATCAATATCCTTTCTTAGGGGATGCCTACGTCATAGTAGCTATATGCATGCAAAGTCTCAGTCCGATATGTTTAAAATTGACAAAGTTTCATCCCCTATTTTATCCCCTTGGGGATAGAATTGATCAAAACCCTTTCTTAGCGGATGCCTACGTTATAACATCTACCTGCATGCCATATTTCATCTAGATCCCTCCAGTGGTTTGGGCTGTGTGTTGATAGATCACTATGTCAGTCAGTCACCTTTGAGTTATACATATATATTTAGAAGATAGATTAGCAGAGCTGCACTCCGCTTATTTTTAAAATTATTTTACTGTTTACTAACAGTATTACTCAGTACGAACATATTCTTTGTCTGGGTAGTAAAACACCAGATTGCGTCAAATGATATTTTTATTCTAAGTAATTAACTTTATATTCTAAGAATTTGTTTGCTTGTTACTATAGTTTTGACTGTTTTACTCAGTCCAGTATTCATCGGTTGACCGCCATGTAATTTAAAACATATAGATAAAAAATTAATTAAGTGATTAAAAAACAGATAAAAGTAACCCTATCGGATCATGTCGGCAACAACTCATAATAATTTCTGTGGTTACACCATGCATAGAAACTATAACAAAATTTATAAAGTAGCTATAGTAACTTTGATAAGCTAATAAATTCTTAGAATATAAAGTTAATATTAATGTTTGATATGAACTCGGAGATATTTGATGTTCAATACGAATATCATACCTTCAAGGATTGAAATTGAAATAGACAGGATTGCTGTCGACGAAGCTGACTACAGAGCTCTTCCCGAACAGATGTATTTTATGGCCGCCCTACAAACGCAATGACTGTACTATATCACAGAACTAATATCTATTACCAAAGTGGTTGCGACATATTATGGTAGGTATTTTTCAGAATACTTAATTTATTATATTTACTTAACATTCTCAAAATAAAATAGGAGTGGACTCCCGTAGAGGAAATTAGAAAATCTTCATCGCGAAATACTCAATCAAAATAATTAAGGATGAGTCATCCGGTTTCAGAACAACTAAAATTAATTTAAATCCCCAAAAGAGATAAAATTATAAACGAAGGGCTTACTAGGAATATTATATTCAACGAACAACAAATATTCAACGAAATAACTTGGCTTTGTCGTTTATTACACAGATTTTCCATCGGCACAGTAGTGTTTTTAAATTTGCGAATAAATATTTAAAGGAATAACTTCTCTTAGGTTGAATAATAGACAGTTTCAGGGCCACCCAAAAAAAAATACAAATAAACGGCTTTATGATACCCATAACTTTGTTAATTATGCATTTCAAATATATTAAATAGGTTAATTGTGGTTACACATTTATGTAAACACAACACAAAAGATAAGCTCTATAGCTGAAAATCTGTCTTAAATCTATAATCAATAACAGATTACATAATCGCACGATCTACATTGCTGATTTTGGGCGATAAGGTATAACGCAGATTTTGGGTGATTTTTGAATGTATGATGGCGCGCGTACTTTTAAAATTTTGGTTTTAA